AATTCAGAAAGAATAGCAGCTAGGTCATTGCGATACATATAGCATACGCAGCTATTTCACGCACGTACGTTACGAATGTATGTACAAGAGGTGGGATTCAAGAATGACCGCGACAAAAGGTCGAGGGATTAAACCCCGACCGAGCTCGTTCCGCATTGCGCGGCGGAAATGGCGGAATTGCCGCGACAGGAACTGGGACGCGCGTTGTCAGTGGCCTTCTCAATGACGTGGATGACGTCACTACGCCGCGCCGCTTGGCGTTATGAGAAAACTGGGCCAAAGACATTGCGTAGCGGGAAGAGGAAACGAAGGATCGCCGGCAAACGGACAATTCAAGTTGCAAGCCGCGTTTATCTCTATAGAGAGAAAAGCTGGTAATGTTCGAGCGACCGATCTGCAATATGCTTTTCAGCGCAGACGAATTCGTTCCAGCATCTTACGAGATCGTAGCTATTCAGTTCTGCAGGATCGTAAGATTTTATGGTTTTCACTGAGTTCACTGATTCGGGACATATGTCAATTTTCTATAATTTCAGATAGGTACTAATTGAATTTGCGCAGTACCTTCACTATAGATTAATTATATGCGTTAATTATCGCGAAAGTTATTATTGATTTTTAATTATTTCGCTCATTGTCAGTATCTTCTCATTTGTAGGACGGTAATTTGTAGAACGTGTTTTACGTTGGACTTTAACAATCACAGCAATCAGCTGACAATAAATAGTCCTGCTATTATTAGCAAATTAAATCTATCACAGTCCTGTAATCTTTATTTTAACAATCGATGAAAAAAGAGATTTACGTAAACATTACAAGGTGTCGACAAGATGCAAAAATTATACACACAACACACACACACACACACACACACACGCGCTCGCGCGCGCACACGCACACACACATGTATAGTAAAAAAACGTGGGGATAAATCCTTTAATTACAATTGGAATATAAATATAATAATATGAATAATTCATAATTGATATAATAGCTTTATATGTTTAAGAAAAAAGCGCTATTTTTTTTATAGATAAAGTATCTTTAGAAAGTTAAAGATTAATGTTTATAAAGAGAAAAGAGACAGATATGTGTGTGTGTGTGTGTGTGTGTGTGGGTGTGTGATAAGCGAAGAATGAACGAGAGGAAGAGAAACTATAGCGGATCATTGAATGAACTATGACATTTCACGGAGGTGGATCATACCTACCGATCTATTTTGTTCAAGACTCGTGAATGGGACTCCTGCGCATCCTGACGTCACACACAGAGGTGCAAGCTCCTGCAACTAGGTCAGGCTTCTGTCATGGCCATGGATAAAAACACATACCGTGACTGCAACGCGCGCATACATTAAATACCTTAATTCTTTCTTTCTTCCACGGAAGATATCGTCGTTCAATGTGTGTACGTTATCATATGTACACGAATTTAGTCGGATTCAAACCAAAGAAACAAGCGCAAACAAATAAAGCTTGTGAATAAAGTTTCGCGTTTCATAAATTCAATCTATCAAAATAATATCAAAAATCTTGCGAAATAATATGCTTATATTATTTTTAATTAGTCATGTTATAATCATTGGTAGAGAGAGAGAGAGAGAGAGAGAGAGAGAGAGAGAGAGAGAGAGAGAGAGAGAAGAAGAAGAAGAAGAAGAAGAAAGGGAAAAATAGATTGTTAGAATGAAAAACGTTTATTTGAAACGTAAATGTCGACATAGATAAAATAATACAAAACATTCAGTCCTGAGTATAAAGGATCTTTTTATCCTTATCTTTCTTATTGTTGCAACACTTTCACACGATTATTCTGCGCGATTACATCTTCATATACGAGGGGGGACCCAAAAAAACGGGAATTTCGTCATAACTTCTTTATTTCTCAATATTTTAACACCAAATTTTAATCACCTTCAAAGTATTCGCCATTGACCACAACGCACTTCTCCAAACGATTCTTCCATTGTTCAAAACAGTTTTTAAATTCACTCATCGGGATGTCCTTTAAGCCTTCCAGCGATTTTTGTTTCACCTCCTCCACAGTGGCAAAACGCTTTCCTTTCATATTCCTTTTGAATTTGGGGAACAAAAAGAAGTCACAGGGGGCTAGATCCGGTGAGTATGGGGGGTGGACAATTGGTGTCATGGCGTTTTTGGTCAAAAATTGCGTAACAAAATTTCACAGCCGCGCGTTGTTCTCGACAATCTGCCATTACGTTTTCGCCGAAATGTAAAAAGTTGTTTTACTAAAAAAAATCTCACAGGCGAACCGATGCACTCACCGGATCTAGCCCCCTGTGACTTCTTTTTGTTCCCCAAATTCAAAAGGAATATGAAAGGAAAGCGTTTTGCCACTGTGGAGGAGGTGAAACAAAAATCGCTGGAAGGCTTAAAGGACATCCCGATGAGTGAATTTAAAAACTGTTTTGAACAATGGAAGAATCGTTTGGAGAAGTGCGTTGTGGTCAATGGCGAATACTTTGAAGGTGATTAAAATTTGGTGTTAAAATATTGAGAAATAAAGAAGTTATGACGAAATTCCCGTTTTTTTTGGGTCCCCCCTCGTATTACATTATATACATACGTACATGTATGACCCGCGCGACGGGAATTAGCGATAGGGAATTAATAATTTTGTTCCTTTCGATTCTCTTGCATTTTCGCCTATCGATAACACCTAATCGTACAGACACGCTTGGGGATGTCTACAAGGCACTAGAGATGAATCGCACAGATTTACAGTATCTTCACATAGATGAGATTCTCGAGGTGTGCGTGTGTATGTGTGTGTGTGTGTGTGTGTGTGTGTGTGTGTGTGTGTGTGTGTGTGTTGTATGCCATTTTTCGTTTCTCGTTTTTTGGATCTCTTCTTTCTTTTTTCTAATCACTTTTTTCCCAAATCACTCTTTATCTTCATATTTAACATCAGATTTTTCGATTTTTGAAAATTAGTCAGTCTTTGCCAGTTGTGGAAGATTTCATCAACGTTGATAAATAATAATATTATAATTGCACGATGCAATTAATCACATGCTACCAATATACCTGATTAACCTCTTGCTCCGTGTAATTTGTCATCGCGGAAAGAAGTAACATACGGTGACTGGTATTAACGGTCAGTCACTTATTTTTAACATTGTTAATTTAATACAAGTTTTCGATAGATTTAAGAGGAAGTATTCGGAGAATATATGTCTGAGAACAAAGATAATTTCAGTTAAACTTGAGATTAAATTAAATAATCTAAATAATGATAATAAATTTTAAATATATGTAGATAAATAATGTATATATATATATACGAGGGTCGTTTGAAAAGTCCGTGCAAAGTCAGTGCTGATGGCACTACTGGCGCGTATCAAGGTTAGATTTAGTTAGTAGCATCTCTTGGAGGAACACACACCAAGTTACAGCCAGATCGGTCTATTTGTTTGTGTTTGGCATTCATTTGAATCGAGGAAGTCGAG